ACACACACACACACACACACACACACACACACACACACACACACACACACACACACACACACACACACACACGCGCAAGCTGAAATTGTTCATTTCCCCAGGAATGAGGTTAGGGGTTTACATGGCATGTGACTGGCTGTTTTTTAACCTTCTGCCTACAGACTCTTATGTCATGTGTGATCACTTCAGCAATGTTGCTGGGCATTTATTTTTCTCTGCCATGAAACACTGACTCTGGAGAAACCAGCTGCATGCACCGGGGCATACAACTTGATGTAACAGTTTAAATTCCCCAGATCAGTGGTTTGGAGAGTTATTGACTGAGCTTTACTGCGATTGTTGTTTCACAATAACCATAGAACAGGTAGTGTCACATCTTCTAACAAATGTAACAATATATTGAGTTCTTCCACCAGCTCTCAAACAAAATATTTTCCTTGCTTCACACTGTGTTTATGTTCTCTATCATTACACAAATTAACCAAATTTGATTTGGGGCTCTTCATAGTGTAAACAACATAATTTGCAGAGCTACCGTACAATATCTCTGGGCTATCAGAGTCAGTGATTCTCATCTTCAATAGAGATTTTACACACACTTAAGATGCTGCGGCACTGAAACATTTGGCTATTATAGGGAGAAAGATGTGTAAATAGTGAAAAATTACAGACTTGATTTCCCACAATATTTCAAGATGTGTATCCAAGCCCCTTTATAGACTTAGGCTAAAATCCTAATAGCGACAAGCTTGAAGTGAATAGAGCCCACAAGAGGATAAGCTACTAAATCTTGCAATAAAAGCAATGTGATTTACAGTAAATTCCGCAAGGCTGACAGTGCCAAAGCTGAGGGCATAAACACTCTTTTCAATGCTGCGCCTCAGTTCTGTCTGCTGTGAACTACAATCACACAGGCATGCTGCTCAGCAGCAGTGACTTTGATAAATCACCAGGAAGTCCCACTGTTGGCTTAAAACTAGAACTTGTTCAGTTGCAATTCTGCATTTGTCCTTCTTTAATGTGTATGGAAGTGGCTTTAGCAGTAATCTGTCAGTGATTGATTAGGTGTGGCCAAATCCCCTTTCCGTTCTCCTCTGTTGACTAACTGTTCAGCTACTGCAGTGTATTTACAGAAAGATGGCAATATTAAGGAAGAGACTGCCTTATTTACCTGCAGCATAAACAGAGTTACTTCCACTTGGGGGACTATACACTCAAGATGCCTACAAGTTAAAGAAGAAACAAAGAGTGACATGTGTTGTTGTTGCTAAATTTATGCACCAATAGATAAAGAAATAGGCTTATAGACCTATGACTCAGTTCCTTTGGGAAGCAATAGAGTCTGAAGCTGTCATTCATGCTTGTAACAGCAGAAAAAGTTCAAATTATATCTCAGTGCATCACAACCACGGTTTACCCTGTGTTATAAAAACAGAAGTGGAACATGTATGCAAAGACTGAAATATATTTATTTTGTATGTGACTCGAGAGGTTGAAAAAGCAATTTAGACAGGGTGCTGGATATTGATCACACTTACCAGCAGATCCATTTTAATTAAATATTAAGAGAGTGTGAGGCATTGATAGCAACTGAGCAGCAACTGTTTCTCGCTTTTCTTTTGTCATCACTTAAAAAAAATAAAAAACATACAAACTAAAAAAGAATGCATTCTAATAGCATCCATGTAATTATTTTTGAAGTGTGAAAGCAAGGCTGTGTTATATCTGATGCATTTTGTATTCAATGAATACTTTAGTTATTTTTAAAAGAAGGTCTGAGTATGAACATCCGTGCATGAATTTTAATGGAGATACTTAAATGGTAATTATTCCACTCAGGCTCAAACGTAGGTAACAAATGGAATTCAATCAGTGTCCGTGCATAATGATGGTCATTAGGAGAAAGAAAATAATAATGACATCCTATCTGCATTAAACCTGCAGACACTTTACACAATGATCCTGCAGCCATTATTGATCTCCATGGAGATAAGCAATTGTCACTTTTCAACATTGTGCCTGAATGTTAAATACAGCTCATTTTGTTTTTCCTGCAAACTATTTCAGCCAACACTAAATTTTCATTTAATTTACTTCACTACTTGAAATCTGTGGTCTAGTTTCACATGATTGTAATTTGGGTTCATTGTCACTGCTGCCTCTCCAGTTCTCACTATTTTTTTCCCCTCCAATTCAAGGCTTACATGAAAAGAACATCACACCTGTATGTGGCTGTAGTCATATTTCATGATCTACTCTTGTGTGTTCACGAAATCTTAGTATGTTATATGCGATGCAATGCTGCTTTCACAAAATCAATGCACACATAGAAAATGCTGTAGCTCCCTCCTACTCACTGCTGAATTATGTTTTGCTAAGTAAAAGTGAAGACAAAATGCCAAATGGTTAAACCAGCAATCATTAGCGCTAAAATTGGGAGTTAAAAAATGAAGCGAGAGTACATTTCCAGCATTTTATGTTTGCTTTTTTAATGTATACTCCCCCCCCCCCCCAAAAAAAAAAACAGTGCATAAAACACAATTAGTTGTAAGTAACTCATTATTAGTTGAAGATTGTAACAGTTGCTTACACATATTGTACAGTAGACAGCATGTATTGAGTCTTAGCCAAAACGGCCACTTGGTTGAATAATTAAATAAGAACTCCAATCAAATGATCCATGATTTGCATGCCTTCTGTTGCCAACTAGCTCCATCTGTTTGGTTTTCAGAGCTCTGACACAGTGGCTCGTGTGAGTGAAACAGCAATAATGTAATTGTGGATGTGACAGATACACCAGATGATGCAGGGACTGTTTGGAAGTCTGGTCCAAGGCATACTGTACAGCATGGTGTCATATGGTCTGCAAGAAAGCATGAAAAAAACAGTTTCATAAAGACTCTCTAC